AGCTCTGCACCATAATTTGGGGATGAATAGCCCCAAAACGGCTCATCGTTACCAAGGTTGGGCAGGGACCGCCTGCTTATCTCGGCACAGCACTCGATGCCGTTGGGGTACCCATCCCGGCGCTCGCGGCCGGGCGAAGCCTGTCGGGTTTTATCCCATTCCGGCGGCATCGAGCGTTTCTCCGGGATGGTGACCGGCTGGGCATGAGCGCCGAAGCCTCCGGGCTCTTCCAACTGTCACAATAAACCCTCCGCCCCGCGTGAAGCGTGCTCTACATTTCGAGCTGAATGCATTGAGCTTTGAGCGTGCGAGCAGCCTTTTATCCGTGAGAGCTTTTCTGCCTGAAGCTGAGGGGCTGCTCCCGAGCGTGCGAATGCACGTCCGTGTAAATGCACGTCTGCGCACGGACGGACCGGCCGCTGCCCTCGGGAAGGGAGCTGGGCTTAAAGCCTGAGGCCGTCTCCGGCTGAGGGACCGGGCGTTGCGCTTGGAGTAGTGTCTGGGGGTTTTAGTCTGCAAAATGGGATGGAAATGGGGAAGTTTCCACGTGGTTTTCCTGACGGGAGATGTCTCTAAGGTGTAGCTGCCCGGTGGGATGTCGGCGGCTGAAGGGTGGGAGACCCATCGGTGAAGCGTTCGCCCTCTGGTTTATCTGAGTTGGAGACGAATAAACAACACGGAGGAAATACGGAGCTCAAACCACTCTGGCCCTTCCGATTTCCCCTTGGGGCAGGTCTCGCTCTTCCCGCACGCTAACGAAGGCTTCCCGAAGGGATGCAGGAGGCTTTCCATGCCGGCTAACCACGTTTCTTTCTGGAAACAGGCGGTGGGGTTATTTCTGCTGATCTCCCCCCACCTTTGGCAGCTGTTTGACCTTTAATCTTGGCTTTTCTGACCTGTTAGGGAGGTGCGGAGCTCCCGTAGGAAGCCTGAATCCGGCAGCGCTTTGACCGCGGCGTCCCGTCTGCCGTAACGAGCTGTGCCGGGTTCTTCGGTGATGTGTCCCGGTCCCCTGCGTGCCGCCGAGCCTCGGCGGGGGGACCGGGGAAGGACAGGGACGAGGCGGTTTCAGCTCATCCCCCCTGACTTATCTTGTGTCCCTGTTGGGAGGAGCCGCATTGTTCCCTCTTCAGAATGGGCGATTTTGGTTGATTGCATTAGGGGTGACCGCGAAGGAGCGCTAGGATAAGGACTCAGCGGATCCGTGCTCTGCGCGTGACCCCGCTTGGGCGGTTTTTAACTGTTTAAAGAACCCTAAAGCCGCTCGTTAACGCAGCCCGGCGTGGGGACGGGGCAGACACGCGGTACAGTGGTCGCTTCAGTGGCCTAAAAATGTGAGAGAAGGGTTACGAGCCCCGTTCAACCCACCTGGGATGCCACCGGTGGCACAAAAAACCAGTGGAGGAGCTCGGAATTGGGCTGAGCTGCTTGGAACCCTTGAAATCTGTGAATTAGATGCTGGACTTAAGTTTAACTGAGGGGAAGAAGTCTGTCTCGCTGCTCTGTCTGTCGGAATAGCTTGGCCTTGCCGCACGAGGAGTCTGAAGCGACTCGATTCTCTCCTTTAGTGGGGAAAAGCACAAAAGGAAATCTAAAATACTGCATTAAAATGGCATTAGTGGCTGTGTTAAAAGCCGTCCCATTGACGTCCCGATGAAGCGTGCATTGACCGACCCCTCTTTGGAGCCCTTGTCGTGCTCAGTACGAGCGTGCTAAAGGCGCCGAGGACCTCCCCCGGCCCCGCTCCGGCTCTCGCCGCGACGCTCCGACAAACGGCACCGTAAAAGGCATTTTCAGAGCCGTATAAAACCCGGCCATTGAGCGCGGCGGCCGCTCGGACCGGGCTGACAATGGGGCCGTTGTGATCCGGGCGGTGGGGAGGCCCTCCCATCGGCAGCGTAGTCGAAGAACCGAATCTCAATGGGGCATTATGAGCCCTTCGGATGGCGTTATCGGTGCTCCCGGTGGCCGTAAATAAAGCCGGGGCTAAGCCGGACGGCCACGACGGCACAGTGGGGGGGATGGAGGTGGCCGGACCTTAGTGAGAGATCCTTTACCTGTGTTGGGCACGGCACCCTTCTCCCCGTGGGACACTGAAGAGGCTCCATAAAGTGTTTCGGAGATCCCGAAATGGAGATAAACCCCAACGTTTGGGCCAAGCAGCAACAGCTCCGGCCCAAGGGGGGCTCGCTGAGAATTTTTAAGCCCGTGCTAATGCCACGTCTAAGCCTCTCGGAGGGAGAATTTATCCGCAGCGGAGGGACGGAGATGCGAGCGATCTGTTCTTAGGGCTTTTCCACAAATAATCCCCAAGTCTGGGGTAGCTTGGGCGCCTGCGTGGCATCAGCCGAGTCGGGATGGCGGCTCTGCGGGTGTAAATCATGGCTCTGGCGTTTTATGGCAGTGATAGAGCAATGTCAATTTAATGGTGAGGCATTGCCTGGGAGATGGGAGGGGGAAACTGCGTTATCAGCAGGCAGAGCTGGCTGGAAATGGAGCGAAAGGGAGGGAATTTGGGAGCCAGGACATGCTCGTTAGTGAAAACACATCTTGGAGGAACATCGGGGATGTGGAAGGACGGTCCGGTGGGTCTCTTCCTGGGATAGTTGGGATATCTATTCCCTCGATTTTGGGGGGAAAAGCCACCACAGGGTCCCTGGTGAAGAATCCATCAACATAATGATGGGCTCTGGAGCACAGGAGAGACATGGACCTGGTGGAGCGGGGCTGGAGGAGGGCACGGAGATGCTGGGAGGGCTGGAGCCCCTCTGCTGGGAGAGTTGGGGGGTTCAGAGAAGAGAAGGCGAAAAAGGGGAGAGCTCAGAGCCCCTTCCAGTGCCCGAAGGGGCTCCGGGAGAGCCGGGGAGGGACTCTGGATCGGGGAGGGGAGCCGTGGGACCAGGGGCAGAGGGCAGATTTAGGGGAGATCTCGGGAGAAATTCTTCCCCGTGAGGGCGGTGAGCCCCTGGGGCAGGTTGCCCCGAGAAGCTGTGGCTGCCCCATCCCTGGAGGTGTTCAAGGCCAGGTTGGACGGGGCTTGGGGCAACCTGGGCTGGGGGGAGGTGGCCCTGCCCGGGGCAGGGGGTGGCACTGGGGGGGCTTTAAGCTCCCTTCAGCCCAAACTGTTGTGCGGTTCTATGACAAAAGGAAGCCTGAACCTGGAGAGGGGCCAGGCAGGACCGGGCAACGCTCGTCGCTCGGGTGGCTGCTCTCGGGTGCCTTCGCCACGGGAGGTTTTATAGGGGAGGGGATGTATTGAGCGTACATCCTCCACCAGTGACCTTTGTCTTTTTGCCCTCTCTGTAAAGCGGAGTTTCCTGGTGCCGCAGGCAAACGGGGAGCAGAGACAGAGGATTGTGCTGAATAATCAGGTGAATGGGAAAATGCGGGGTTGATGTTGTCATTTCAAACACCGGTTGGACCTCACGTTTCGCAGATTACGTCACTGAGGTGCGTCAGCCCCATTGAGATCCTTCTCTGTGCCACCTGCCCCACATCTCTGAGTCACTTTAATGTTTAAAAAATGCCCGAAGGACCTTCTGGCAGGTCCGGTTCCCCCCTATCATGTTTGCAGTCGGTTTTATCCTGAAGGATACGGTTCCTGCTAACCCCGGCCACAAAATACGTGTGTACGAACAGGGCTGAGTGCGGTAACACCCCTCGGTTGTAAAAACCACCCACTTATTGCCGTCGGCGGGTGGCGGATGGGGTGACCCAGCCCCATGGCCAGGCAGGGCCTGCGTCGGCTGTCGGGGGGGGAGTCGCG